GAAGAGCATTGCAGTAGTCCAGCCTAGAGATGACAAGGGCCTGGACAAGAAGTTGTGCAGCATGCTCCGTTAGAAAGGGCCTGATCTTTCTGATGTTGTGCAATGCAAACCTGCAAGATCGAGCGGTCTTTGCAATGTGGTCTTTGAAGGTCAGCTGGTTATCAAAAGTTACACCAAGATTTCTGACCGAAGTTGATGGGGTAATTGTAGAAGAACCTAGCTGGATGGAAAAATCATACTGTAGAGTTGGAGTGGCAGGGAAGACAAGAAGCTCAGTCTTTGCCAGGTTGAGCTGTAAGTGATATTCTTTCATCCATGCCGAGATGTCTGCCAGGCAGCCTGAGATCCGTGCAGCTACCGTTGGATCATCTGGTTGAAACGAGAGATAGAGCTGTGTGTCATCAGCATAGCAATGGTAGGAGAAGCCATGTGCTTGTATGATGGGACCCAGTGATGTTGTGTATATGGAGAAGAGGAGGGGTCCAAGAACTGATCCCTGAGGAACCCCAGTGACAAGTTGATGTGCTTTGGATACCTCCCCTCCCCAAGACACCCTGAAAGACCTACCAGTGAGATAGGATTGAAACCAGCTAAGTGGAATCCCTGTGATGCCCATTGAAGAGAGGGCAGACAGGAGGATCTGATGATTGACAGTGTCAAAAGCAGCAGAAAGATCCAGCAGAATAAGGACTGATGATTTGGAATCAGCTTTTGCAATCCGCAAGGCTTCTGTGACTGACAGTAGCGCAGTCTCAGTTGAATGGCCACTCCTGAAACCTGACTGGTTAGGATCCAGTTTGTTGTTCTGTGAAAGAAACAATGATATCTGGTTGAAAACAACTCTTTCGAGGGTTTTCGCTATGAATGGAAGGAGAGAGACAGGTCTGTAGCTATCTGTAAGTGAAGTGTTTAATGTAGGTTTTTTGAGCAGTGGGGTTATCCGAGCCTGCTTGAATGCAGTGGGGAAGGTGCCTGTGAGGAGAGATGTATTGATGATGTGTGTGAGTGTTGGTAAAAGTGTAGGAGAGATTGCTTGGAGGAGGTGTGAGGGGATTGGGTCTAGAGGGCATGTTGTAGGATGGCTGGAGAGCAGAAGTTTTGATACTTCTGTCTCAGTGAGGGGACAGAAGGAGAAGATGGGAGTTTTTGCAGTGGGTGGGGTTGGTTTGAAGTCCTGTGTGTGTGGGGCTGAGAATTGGCTACTGATTGTTCTGGTTTTGTTTGTGAAGAATGTGGCAAAATCATCAGCTGTTATAGACGTGGTAGGAGGTGGTGGAGGGGGACAGAGGAGAGGATGGAAAGTTTTGAAGAGATTACGTGTGTCTGGAGCGCTGTTGATCTTGTTGTGGAAGTATGAAGATTTGGCAGTATGGACTTCAGCAGAGAAATATGAAAGCAAAGACTGATACATACTTAGGTCTGATGGATCTTTTGATTTGCACCATTTTCTCTCAGCTGCCCTGAGTTTGGTCCGATGTTCACGAAGAACATCGGATAACCAGGAGTTCGAGGGGGCAGCCCGTGCTGGCCTGGAGGAGAGAGGACAAATATCATCTAGACAAGAGGTTAAAGTAGAGCATAAAGTGTCAGTTGCTGCATTCACATCCAGAGATGAGAAATGGGTAGGTGAGGGAAGAGAGGAGGATACAACGGAGGAAAGATGGGAGGGGGAAAGGGAGCGTAGGTTTCGTCTAAAAGTAACCGGTATGGGGGTTGGTGGCACACAGGTAGCAAAATGTAGTTGAAATGTAATGAAGAAATGATCAGAGATATGTAGGGGTTTGACCAGAATGTTGTCTGCAATACAATTGCGTGTGTAAATTAAGTCAAGTTGGTTGCCAGATTTGTGCGTGCTTGTGGTGGTAAGTCGTTTGAGATCAAATGAAGCAAGGAGTGAATGGAAGTCTGTAGCATAAGGCTTGTCCAGATGAATGTTGAAGTCGCCAAAGACTAAAAGTGGACTGCCATCCTCCGGGAATGAGGACAGCAGCCCATCCAGCTCTTCTAGGAAGGTGGATAGAATTTGCCCAGGAGGGCGGTAAATTACCACAACCTGGAGTTTTACAGGAGCTGTTATAGTGATCACATGAGATTCAAATGAGTTGTAATTGCATAGGGGAGAGTGGGTTGAGTATTTCCAATTGTTAGAAATGAGCAGACCAGTGCCCCCACCCCGGCCAACCTGACGGGGGGGTATGAGAGAAAGAGAAATTGTTCGAAAGAGCAGCTGGGGTTGCCGAGTCTTCTGGACGAATCCAGGTCTCAGTCAAGCCCAATATGCTAAGTGTGGAGTTTAAAGAAAAAGAAGAAATGAAGTCTGCTTTGTTGACAGCTGACTGACAATTCCAGAGACCCATAGAGAAAGAAAGAGGTGCAGTAGAGGATGTAGAGATAGGATGCAGGTTAGCAACATTGCGTTGCCGTCTGCGTGTGACCTTAGAGCGTCGTCGAGAGACAACCCGGAATGGTTTGGAAACACATGATAGAGGTGAAAAAGAGAGGACAGAAAAGGAGAGTGTGTGCAGGGAAGGGCAAAAATACACTTAAGTGCCTTGGCGATTTCGTTGCTCGGTGAAGTCGCGCAGGTAAAGTCGCAGGTCTTTACACTCGTTGGTCTTCGCAAAAGGAGGCCTGAACGCTTCC